CCTTGAAATTGAGCCCAAAGTAGCGGAAATGTTCGATTTTAGCTGATGTTCAAGAGTCAACAAATGACATCACCATCCAATACGTGTCCAAATGGCCAGTCTAATACGCAGTCATGAATAGGTTGACATTATTTAAACAATTATTAAAATAATGCAGTAGTCTGCAAAACAGTAAATCTTCTATTTTTTGTGTGAATAAGAATTCAAATTGGAAAGCAAGTGTAATATAAGAGGGGCCTGGAGACATGACTAATGAACAGAGAAAATGTTATTTTAGTACCAGGAATGTTTCCATTGTTTATTCTGGACCCTATTTTGAAATTGGCATCTCTTGAAATTTGTGTGAAATTGTTCAAATTACTAATTTCTGACCACTTTACTGGGTAGCTGAAACAGGTAAATGGGCAGTTTCCTGTACTCAATCAACAGAGTAGAAGGAATACTTGTGAAACAGCTATGCGTTTGGTAGACTGGAACAATGGAATGGGTCAAAAATATGGCATAAAGTGGGTGAAATCACCGATGCGTAAGTATCGCCACTGGGTTAAGTGTATTATAACCTAACCACTCTGTAATCCAGCAAAATCACTAATCCAGCATCCAACAGGTCCCGCTGATGCTGGATTAGTGACAGTTAACCTGTATTTTAAAAGTTTTTTTTTCAACACGCTGGCTGTCTCCCACCAAGGCAGGGTGACCCCCCAGAAAAGAAACACTTTCACCATCATTCACACATAATCACTGCCTTTGCAGAGGCACCCAGATACAACAATTTAGATGTCACTCCAAACAGCAAATATCCCAAACCCCTCCTTTAACCCTTTCAGGGTTTCAGACGTACTAGTATGGCTTACGCGCCAGGGTTATTGACGTACTAGTACGCTTAAATTCTAGCGCCTTCAAATCTAGCGAGAGAAAGCTGGTAGGCCTACATATGAAAGAATGGGTCTATGTGGTCAGTGTGCACAGTAAACAAAAATCCTGCAGCACACAGTGCGTAATGAGAAAAAAAAAACTTTGACCGTGTTTTTGGTTTAAAACAGCGACTTTGCACTGTATTTTCATATGGTATTTATGGTTGTATTCTAGTTTTCCTGGTCTCATTTTATATAATGGAAGACATATTACAGAAATTGAGATGATTTTGATTGGTTTCACAATGAAAAGTACCTTGAAATTGAGCTCAAAGTAGAGAAATGTTCATTTTTTGCCAAAGTTCAAAACTAAACAAATCATGCCACGTGTCCAATACACATCAACTGTTGAGTCTAATATTCTTTCACAAGTGCGCTGATATTATTTATACCATTTCTACACTAATGCAGGAGTCTGCATAACAGTAAATCTTCTATTTTTTGTGAGAATAAAAATTCAAAGTGGAAAGCAAAAGAAATGTAAGAGGGGACGTGACTAATGAACAGAGGAAATGTTATTTTAGTGCCAGAAATGTCTGTCTTGTTTATTCTGGATCCTATTTGGAAATTGGCATCTTTTGAAATTTGTGTGAAATTGGCAAAATTGGTAATTTCTGACCACTTTGTTGGATAGTTGAAATTGGTAAATGGGTGGTTTCTTGTACTCATTCGATAGAAAAAATGGAGTTCTGGCGAAATAGTTATGATTTTTGTCGACTAGTACACTGGAATTGGCCAAAAATAGGGCTCAAAGTCGGTGAAATCGCCAATGCATAAACATCGTCGAGACCGCTAACTTCGTGAGAGCATAATTCCATAACTTTTCCATCAAATTTCATACTTTTTGTGTCATTATGATCGGGAAAAGATTCTCTTATCTTTTCATAAGGAAAAATAATTTTTTTTTTTTTTTTTTTTTTCAAAAAAAAATTTGACCCTGAGAACAAGTTTAGAAGAGGGCCTCTCGACCCTGAAAGGGTTAAAGTGCAGGCACTCTACTTCCCAACTCCAGGACTCAAGTTCAGCTAACTAGTTTCCCCGAATCCCTTCACAAAATATTACCCTGCTTACACTCCAACAGCTCGTCAAGTCCCAAAAACCATTCGTCTCCATTCACTCCTATCAAACACGCTCACACGTACCCGCTGTATGTCCAAGCCCCTTGCACACAAAATTTCTTTTACCCCCTCCCTCCATCCTTTCCTGGGACAACCCCTAACCCTCCTTCCCTTAACTACAGATTTATATACCCTTCAAGTCATCCTATTTTGCTCTCATCTTCTCTGAATGACCAAACCACCTCAACAACCTCTCTTCAGACCTCTGGATAATACTTTTAGCTACTCCACACCTCCTAATTTCCACACAACATTTCCTCTGCGTCCAGACTCCTTCTCGCTGCAACATTCACAACCCATGCTTCACACCCATATAAGTGTGTTGGTACAACTATACTCTCATACATTCCCTTCTTTGCCTTCATAGATAATGTTCTTTGTTTCCACAAATACCTCAATGCACCACTCACCTTTTTTCTTCATTCATTCTATGATTTACCCTGTCCTTCATAAACCCATCAGCTGACAAATCTTCTCCCAAATATCTGCACACATTCACTTTTTCCATACTCTCTCTGATCTGATATCCAATTTTTCCTTATCTAAATCATTTGATACCCTCATCACTTTATTCTTTTCTATGTTCACTTTTAACTTTCTTTAACACCCTCCCAAACTCATCCACTAACCTTTGCAACTTCTTTTTGGAATCTCCCAAAAGCACAGTATCAGCTGGTACTGACAACTGCTTTACTAGTACCAATATCATAAAAATAGCTGATACCCAATGATGCCATTACTTTATTACACCCCTAGACTGAAAATGCAAAATATATGGTAACAGAGTGACAGGAATCCTGAAGGCCGGACAAAAGTAGTGATTCCCTGCAGAAACCCGAGGGTAAAACACAAATTTTATTTTAAAATAAGCTTTATGCAGCAGCTGAAAAGGTACAAAACATCATACAAATGCTTGACATAATATACACAGTTCTCGATAAAAATGAATATCCCCTGGGGCTCTTTATCGACCTAAGAAAAGCGTTTGACACAGGTGACCACAATCTCTTGCACCTCAAACTGAATCATTACGGCATAAGAGGACATTCTCTTGACTACCAAAAATCCTATCTTAATGACAGACACCAGTATGTACATACAAATGAAGTCAACTCTGTTATCCAACCTGTAGCTGTAGGAGTACCCCAAGGTAGTGTCCTAGGCCCACTCCTCTTTCTCATCTACATCAATGATCTCCCCAATGCATCCCAACTCCTTACACCAGTTCTATTCGCAGATGACACTACATATGTCTACTCCCATTCAGACCCAGCTGTGCTTGAAAACGCTAAACAATGAACTGCTAGATATATGCTTGGATGATGACCAACAAACTCACTCTCGACATAGACAAAACATACTTCATGCTGTCTGGCAACAGAGCCTCAAATATTCAATTCAACATACTGTTAAATGGTTCCCCTATATCAAGACACACGGAGGGCAAATTTCTAGGTCTTCTCCTTGACTGTAATCTTAAATTTCAGTCCCATACCCATCACATAGCCAAGAAAATTTCCAAATCAGTAGGAATCCTTTCCAAGATACGCTACTATGTACCACAAATGACTCTCCTTACCCTGTACCACTCTCTAATATATCCTTACCTCACCTATGGTATCTGAGCCTGGGGCTCAACCACTGCCAACCACCTTAGACCCTTAATAATCCAACAAAAAGCTGCTGTGCGGGTGATAACCAGCTCCTGTGCTAGACAACACACTCCACCACTTTTCAAAAGAGTCAACTTGCTAAATATACAAGACATACACTCTTCTTATTGTGCCTACTACATATACAGAACTTTAAGCTCCACTGTAAACCCTTCCCTAAAACTACTCCTCGACAGTTACAACAGAACGTACAGTCACAATACAAGGCATAAGGCACTTTTCAACATCTCTCGGGTAAGACTCTCACTATGCAAGAACGCTATGCACATAAAAGACCCGAAGATCTGGAACTCGCTACCAGAACAGTCAAGGATCCCCAGGCAGCTTATAAATTTAGGACTCTGCTAAAAAATCATCTTATCTCACAATATTAACCAAATCAACCAAACATCTACTGACTAGTTTTATCATGTGACCTCCTGGCTTTTAATTCTGCCATTCCATAAAATATTACCACCTGCACCATTCCTTGTAAATTAGATTTTGTACTAAGTATACATAAGATTTATTAAGTCCAAATAAGATTGTAAAACAGCTAATCACTATTCCATGTTTAGTTTTAAGTATAATTACTATGTACTATTCTCTTATCTAGTTTTAACTAGTTATTATGTATTAGGATTAGTTTGCCCGAAATGCCTGGGCATAATAGTGGCTATCTTCGTACTTAGCAAATCAAAATTGTTATTACACATTGTAACCTTTACAAAGAAATAAACTTATTATTATTATTCAACACACTGGCTGTATCCCACCGAGGTAGGGTGGCCCTCTTACGACGCACATGGCTTACAGAGGAAGAATTCTGTTCCACTTCCCCATGGAGAACATAACAACATACTGATTAATTAGGCAAAAACTACATGATGAGTTATAAAGTAAATATTTCAGAAGACATGTATAGTAAAATAAGATAAGATTTGTTCGGATATGTAACCTGGAGGGAGCAAGGAGCTAGTAACCTCTTCTCCTGTATATATTACTAAATGTAAAAGGAGAAACTTTCGTTTTTCCTTTTGGGCCACCCCGCCTCGGTGGGATGCGGCCGGTGTGTTGAAAGAAAGAAAGATTTAACCTGGAGGGTTAGCCACCCAGGGTAACCTAAGAAAGTTAGTGTGTTATTGAGGATTGTCTTATTTCCACTGGGGTCCTTCAACCCACAAGAGGTGACTAACACTCAAGTTCCTACTTCCTGCTAGGTGAACAAGGACAGCAGGTACAGGGAAACACGCCCAACATTTCCACAGATGCCGGGGAGTGAACCACAGATACTCAATGTGTGAGGTGTTACCAACTAAACCACAGAACCTGTTGCATTCTTACCTTTTCCCTGGTATTTAGTACTTCTCTTCCCTGGAAATTTTTTCCACAACCAATACTTTTGGGAAGCTGACGTGAAGTAACAGGTTCAGTGTCAATTCCTTGGCCAAGATTATGAAGCCACAACCTGTAGGGAAGTGTTATCTTCACAGTGGTAAAACACCATGACAAATAATTTTTAACTGTCTAAAAAATTAAACTTTTCTGAACAATAAATAGTTACAACACTGTTCTGAAGCTTAGAATATTTTCAAGTAGAGTATTACATTAAAGATAGTTATTTATGTATGATAGACTTGACAGCAACTGATTTACTACACAAACTCTGACAATATGTACTTCCTCTAGTACTCCTCACAGCCCTTTCTAACTCTCCCTCTGCTCTCCACTCCACCCTTACTACTGTATAATCCTGCACTAACCCCTGCCCTGCTGTGCTGTAAAGTCCTTGTAGGTTTAGAGCTTCTTTTTTATAATAATAAAAACATGTATGACAGATACCTTCCTTATTGTTGAAGTACCACCTTCACTTTCCCATAATTCAGTTTAACCTCTATAACTTCCTTAATGCAGTCTTAAATCAATTATACCAAGTATGTCATCTTGTATATTTTCTATGTGCAGCTGCACTACTGTTGCTTCTTGTGTTAGCATTAAATACTACTTAGGTTCCCAGCCCCATTAAGCATGTGTTGTGGTTTGATTTAAAGATCACACCTGGAGAAGAACTTGTATGATTACTGTGGACCTTCAGCTTGCTCCTCCCTCTTGGAGGAAACAGATCTACATTTTTACTGCCTTGCACATACATTGAACTCACCTGGACTACTGTGTTCAGTTTGCTTAGTTGAACTTACAGAGGATCTGACAAAGTCTCTCTCTCACTTCTACAGTTTAGACCATATTAGAAGTGTTGATATTCAGTAGCAGTGGCAACACTCATATGTATATTTCAATCCTCTTTCTATACCCTTAACCCTTTGGGGGTTTCGGACGTACTAGTATGTCTTACGACCCAGGGTTTTTGACGTACAGTGGACCCTCAACCAGCGATATTAATCCGTTCCTGAGAGCTCATCGTTAATCGAAATAATCATTAGTCAAGTTAATTTTCCCCATAAGAAATAATGGAAATCAAATTAATCCGTGCAAGACACCCCAAAGTATTGAAAAAAAAAAATTTTACCACATGAAATATTAATTTTAATACACACAAACTGAAGAAGACATGCACAGTTACATGACACTTACCTGTATTGAAGATCTGGTGATAACTGATGGGATGGGAGGAGGGCAGACCGTTGATCTTCTAAGTGTTTAGAAGGGGAACCCCTTCCATTAGCACTTGAGGTAGCAAGTCTTTTTCTGGGGTTACTTCCCTTGTTCTTTTAATGCCACTAGGACCAGCTTCAGAGTCACTGGACTTCTGTCGCACAACATATCTGTCCATAGATACCTGTACCTCTCGTTCCTTTATGACTTTCCTAAAGTGGTTCACAACATTGTCAGTGTACAGGTTGCCAACACGGGTTGCAGTAGCTGTGTCAGGGTGATTTTCATCAAAAAAGGTTTGCACTTCAAGCCACTTTGCACACATTTCCTTAATCTTAGAAGTAGGCAACTTCTTCAATTTCTCTATCCCCTCCTCCGAAGCAGTTTCCTCAGGTCTGCCCTCTTGCTGTTCAAGATGATCTAGCAGCTCATCAGTGGTTAGTTCTTCATTGTCCTCCTCCACCAGCTCTTCCACATCCTCCCCACTAACCTCCAACCCCAAGGACTTCCCCAATGCCACAATGGATTCCTCAACTGGCATAGGATTCTCAGGGTTAGCCTCAAACCCTTCACAATCCCTTTTGTCTACACATTCTGGCCACAGTTTCTTCCAAGCAGAGTTCAAGGTCCTCTTAGCCACTTCCTCCCAAGCCTTACCTATAATCTTTACACAATTGAGGATGGTAAAATGATCTTTCCAAAACTCTCTTAGAGTCAGTTGAGCTTCTGAAGTCACTACAAAGCACCTTTCAAACACAGCTTTTGTGTACAGTTTCTTGAAGTTGGAAATGACCTGCTGGTCCATGGGCTGCAGGAGAGGAGTGGTATTAGGAGGCAAAAACTTCACCTTAATGAAGCTCATGTCCCTAGAAAGTCGCACTGCCAAGTCTGAAGGATGACCAGGAGCATTGTCTAATACCAGGAGGCACTTAAGGTCTAATTTCTTTTCAATTAGGTAATTTTTCACATTGGGGGCAAATGCATGGTGTAACCAGTCATAGAAAAAGTCCCTAGTGACCCATGCCTTACTGTTTGCCCTCCACAGCACACACAAATTAGCCTTGACGACATTGCTTTTCCTGAACACTCTGGGAGTTTCAGAGTGATACACCAATAAAGGCTTCACTTTGCAATCACCACTAGCATTGGCACATATCAACAGAGTAAGCCTGTCTTTCATAGGCTTATGTCCTGGGAGTGCCTTTTCCTCCTGAGTAATGTAGGTCCTGCTTGGCATTTTCTTCCAAAACAGGCCTGTTTCGTCACAATTAAACACTTGAATTCCTGCACATATTTTTCAGCTGCTTTGTGGTCCGAACTGGCAGCCTCACCATGCCTTATCACACTATGAATGCCACTACGCTTCTTAAATCTCTCAAACCAACCTTTGCTGGCCTTAAATTCACTCACATCTCTAGTTGCTGGCATTTTTTTAATTAAATCGTCATGCAACTTCCTAGCTTTTTCACATATGATCGCTTGAGAGATGCTATCTCCTGCTATCTGTTTCTCATTTATCCACACCAATAAGAGTCTCTCAACATCTTCTATCACTTGCCATCTCTGTTTCGAAAACATAGTTGCACCTTTTGCAAGAACAGCTACCTTGATTGCCGTTTTCTTGCCCACAATAGCAGCGATGGTTGATTGGGGTTTATTATACAACCTGACCAGCTCAGAGACACGCACTCCACTTTCATACTTAGCAATGATCTCTTTCTTCATCTCCATAGTAATTCTCACCCTTTTTGCTGTAGGGTTGGCACTAGAAGTTTTCTTTGGGCCCATGGTGACTTATTTTGCAGGTGCAATCACTACAAAGGCTGTGATATGAAATATTCCAGTTGTATGTTTGGAAGCAACCGCGGTGGCTGGCTTGTAAACACTGGCACCCACGGGACAAGTGAGGCGCGCTCAGGCCAAAGTGGACGCATCTCGTACGGAACGAATAGCGCTGGTCGGGTTTTTAAACGCTCGTCGAGGCAAAATTTTTGCGTTAAAATGCATCGCTAGTCAGATTTATCGTTAATCGATGCCATCGCTGGTTGAGGGTCCACTGTACTAGTACACCTAAATTCTAGCGCCCTCAAATCTAGCAAGAGAAAGCTGGTAGGCCTACATATTTAAGAATGGGTCTATGTGGTCATTGCGCACAGTATAAAAAAAATCCTGCAGCATACAGTGAGTAATGAGAAAAAAAAAACTTTGACCATGTTTTTAGATTAAAACAGCGACTTTGCACTGTATTTTCGTATAGTATTTCTTGTTGTATTCTAGTTTTCTTGGTCTCATTTTATAGAATGGAAGACATATTACAGAAATTGAGATGATTTTGACTGGTTTTACAATGAAAAGTACCTTGAAATTGAGCTCAAAGTAGCAGAAATGTTCGATTTTTACCAAAGTTCAAAAGTAAACAAATCATGCCAAGCGTCCAATACACATCAACTGGTGAGTCTAATATTCTTTCACAAGTGCGCTGATATTATTTATACCATTTCTACACTAATGCAGTAGTCTGCATAACAGCAAATCTTATTTTTTTTGTAAGAATAAAATTCAAAGGGGAAAAGCCAAAGAAATATAAGAGGGGCCTGGGGATGTGACTAACGAACAGAGAACTTGTTATTTAGTGCCAGGAATGTCTTTCTTGCTTATTCTGGACCCTATTCGAAATTGGCGTCTTTTGAAATTTGTGTGAAATTGGCAAAATTGCTAAATTCTGACCACTTTATTGGATAGTTGAAATCGGTAAATGGGTGGTTTCTTGTACTCATTCGATAGAAAAAATGGAGTTCTAGCGAAATAGTTATGATTTTTGTCAACTAGTACACTGGAATTGGCCGAAAATAGGGCTCAAAGTGGGCAAAATCGCCGATGCGTAAACATCGTCGAGACCGCTAACTTCGCGAGAGCATAATTCCATAAGTTTTCCATCAAATTTCATACTTTTGGTGTCATTATGATCGGGAAAAAGATTCTCTATATTTTCATAAGAAATTTTTTTTTTTTTTTTTTTTTTTGAAATTTGGCCGACCCTGAGAACAAGTCTCTGAGAGGACCTGTCGACCCCCAAAGGGTTAAAAGAAAATACACTAGATCTCCACTCACTGCTTCTCCCATTCTTCTGACATGACCATCCACATCTCTAATCATGGTTGAAATTCATCCAGTTACTTCAACAGGTGACATTCTCAGTTAACTATCCAACCTTGAACTGGTACCAAGACCCACTCCTGACATTAACCTGAGAACTAGTCTAAAACCAGGCTGCAAGGGTTCTGATCTGAATCAACAACAGACTAAGATTAAGATGGTTATTTTGACAAATTACATTATTATACAGAGGAAAATAATAGTTGGGTGTACATGCCAAAAGCCCCTTTGTATGCAGAGCATTTCGGGCAAACTTAAAGATTAACTTAAGACTAGGAAGGCAATAATACATAGTTCTAATGGTCATTAGAGGGGTTACAGTGAGTACAGAAGAATGGTTTTGACAAGTCTAGTAGAGACTTATTACACTATTGAATTAGTTAATAAAGATTACAGTATTACAATGTAACAATTTAAAACAATTTACAATATCATGTATTACAATCTAGTACTATTTAAAACAATGAAAAACAGACATCGTAATTTGGAAGTAGTAAGTTGTTGAACATTCGTCAGCACAATATGAGTAGCTTTTGAGAAACTGGCAGTGATTAGGTACGGTTTGTCTGGTTAATTTTAGGTCCATTATTGAGTAATAATAAGTTTACTGACAGGTTAATATTCCTAAAGTAGTTCATGACACATGAATATACAAACAAGCTGAAAAATCTTGGCTTGGAATATATTAGAGCAAAAAATTTAGTAGAAAAATCCAATCCTTTAATTATGTAGAGAGACTTACGATGTCTTGTCATCATATCTTCCCTTCAACTGCTGGAGGGAAAGTCTGCCAAGATCAGCCATGGTGGTGCAACAAAGCTCTTCAGTCAAAGAATCTCCCAGCTTTCCACCAAGGTTGCGAACACTGCCCACCTTAGTGGTCTCCCACAGCTGCCCCACACCAAACTGAGGCAATACTGTTTGCTGGTTGGGTTTGTGAAGTCCACAAGATAACTTTGCAAGCATCTGTAATACAGCAAATTGTTTTATAATGGTTATAACAGCATGTTTGATCAGCAGATATACATCAGGAGGAACAGGAAGTGCAAGTATAACCACAAGACAAACCTTGTTATGAGCTATTCCAGCAGAACATTTAAAGCCGGTGCGTTCAAGAACTGCTCTCCTCATGTCTTCACAAACAAGTGCTGCACAAGTGAGCCTCAGGTTGTCCCACTGAGGCTGAGCCGGGGTTATGTCTGAGACACAGTCATCAGCTTCAAACACTGAAGTCAGCCATCTGTTTAGACCATTTAGCCGCACTTCTACAAACAAGTCAGTAAAGACACATTTAATACTTCTTTCTCCCTTTCACATAAAAAAAATCATACTTTTTGCCAAATTTAATGTAATGAGAAGAATAACTTTGCAAGTTGTGAGCACTGCAGTTACATGCAAGAACAGCAAGATCAACTGAAAAGTCATGCAACAGACTACTGCCAAAGACAATGACAAGCAACATATATGAAACATAAGCAACTAAGTCAACTAAAATGCCGGGAACAATGGGCTAGTAACCCCTTTTCCTGTAAAGATTACTAAAAAGAATAAGAAGAAGAAAATTGTCAAAGTGGGAAGTCTGAATGTGCGTGGATGTTGTGCAAATGATAAGAAAGAGATGATTGTGGATGTTATGAATGAGAAGAAACTGGAAGTCCTGGCTTTAAGTGAAACAAAGCTGAAGGGGGTGGGAGAGTTTCAATGGAGAGGAATAAATGGGATTAGGTCAGGGGTTTCAAATAGGTTAGAGCTAAAGAAAGGGAGTAGCAAAAATTTTAAAGGAAAAGCTATGGCAGGAAAAGAGGAAAAAATGTTTTAAAATTCAAGGATTATTGGAGAAAAAAAAAGACGGATGTGAAAAGGGGTTTTATGTAAGGGTATACCTGGAGAAGAAGAAGTGAAAGGGGGGAAGAGAGAGATTTTGGGGAAAATGTTGGTAAATGCGTGGGGAGTTTTGAATCAAGTGGAGGTTGGTGGTTGGGGTTTTCAATGAAAAAGTGGGTAAAAATGTTAGGGGGGGTTAGTAGGTAAAAATTTGGGTGCCAGGGGTAAATGAAAGGGGGGGAGCCTTTTAAATTTGAGCTATGTTTAGAAAAAAATTTTGGGTAATAAGTAACCATTTTTTTATGAAAAAGAAAAATAAACATACAAGGTTGATGTAACGTAATAAAGTTTTTGTTAATTATGTATTGGTGATAAAATTGACGGGTAGGCCCCGGGATTACTTTTTTAAGGGGGGCAACTGTATACGGATCATTATTTTTTTGGTACAGTTAGAGTAAGAGGTAGGGGGGAAAAGAGGAGGTGGAAACAACAAGTAAGGGGACTGAAAGTGATAAAAACTAAGGGAGGGGGAATTGGTGAATAAAAAGCGACTTTTGGCAGAAAGGGGGTAGTGCAAAGAGAGTTTGGGGGGTTTGAAGAGGGTTGGAAATGTTTTAAAAATCAGTATTGAATGGGGGCAGAAGCTTGTGGATAGGGGGTGGGGGCAGGAGGAAAAAGGTGATTTGGAATGATGAAGTAAAGGGTTTTGATAAAAGAAAAAAGGAAATTTTGAGGGTTTTTACAAAGCGAAGGTTATAGAAGAGCAGAGTATATGGGAGTAAAAAAAAGGTGAAGGGTGGTGAGGGGGGCAAAAGGGGAGCGATGTAGAGGGGAGGGCACTGTCAAAAAATTTTTAAAGAAAAAAGAAAAAAAATTTTTGGGGTGAGTTAAACCAATTAAGAAAGCCCAGGTTTTTAGTTTAATAGTTTATTATGCACCCCATACCCCTCCTGGGGCGGTAGTCAAAAGATTTAAAAAGGACATAATGGTCCAGGACTGGACCCCAAAATTATGATCGAACTATCACAAAGGTAATGAACCCTAGATCTGGTCACTAAAAACATGCAAGTTACAGAGGGGAATGAATAGTTATCCTATACTGGGTTTCAGTCATGAACAAAATTCAAAGTAATGAAAACCCCTGATAGTCCATACCTGGGCACAAAATTTTATAGTTATAAACAAAAATTTAAATGGATCATACACCCACACGAGCGCCGCACTACACACACGAGGGGGCAGCACGGGGCATGTCACACAGCTACAAATTATGCATACACACAAGGACGCACACCCACACACACACACCCACACACACACACACCCAAAACCCCCCCACAACACCCTCACACACACCCAACCACACCCTCCACACACCCACACCCACACCCCACACCACACAACACCCCCCAAAACGCCACCACACACCCACACCGCACACACACACCCACCACGAAAAACACACCACACACCCCCACACACGCACACACACGCCCCCCCCCAACCCC